GATCATGCTGCTGCTGCTGAGGCGGCGGCGCCTGCTGCAGCTGCTGATCATGCTGCTGCTGCTGCTGCTGATCATACTGCTTTTCCACTAGCTGCTGCTGCTGCTGCTGCTGTTGGTGCTGCAGTTGCTGTTGCTGCTTCTGCTGCTGCTGCACTAATGTCAAAGCTAGACTGTGGTGCGACTGCTGCAGTTGCTGCAGTTGCCGCTGCTGCTGTTGCTGGTGTTGCTGCTGAGCAGGGTCGGGGTCGCGACTCCGCAGCTGTAGTTGCTGCTGCTGTAATTGTTGTTGTTGTTGTTGCTGCTGCTGCTGTTGCCGCTGTCTAAGCTTGAATGTCTCCCTCAGTAGAAGCAGCTGCTCCGGCAGCGCTTGCCGCTGCTGCTGTCGTTCAAGCCCAGGCTGCTGCTTCTGCTGCTGCTTTTGTTGCTGCAGATCCGTCTGCACCTGCAACTGCTGCTGCAGCGTCGGAAGGGGTGGCCGATGCAGCTGTTGCTGCTGCAATGCTTGCTGCTGCTGCGGTATCGCGTGCTGCTGCTGCTGCTGCTGCAATGCGTGCTGCTCCTGCTGCTGCTGCTGCGATCGATGATCCTCTCGGCTTGTTCGGCTGTCATGGAATATTTGTTGCTGCTGCTGAGGCCTTTGTTGCTGCGTTCTTCGCTGCTGCTGCTGCTGCTGCTGCTGCTGAGTCGCAGGTGTTTTAGTTTGGTGCGGCAGTGAGATTGCTTGTTGCTGCTGCAGTTGCTGCTGCTGCAAGCCAGGTAGCTGCAGCAGCGGCGTTTGCTGCTGTCGTTTTTCGTGTGCTAGCCGGTGCTGCTGCTGCTGTTGTTGTTGGTGCTGCTGCAGTTGCTGCGATTGCTGCAGTGGCTGCCTCAGTTGCCTTTGCTGCTCCCCTTGCATCAGAAGCTTCTGCTGCTGCTGCTGCTGCTGATGCTGCTGCTGCTGCTGCTGCTGTGTGAAGGGCACAGTGATCTGCTGGTCTTGCGGTTGAAGCTGGTGGCGTTCCTTCTGCAGCTGCTGCTGCAGCTGCTGTTGCTGCTGCTGCTGCTGCTGCTGCCGCTGCTGCTGCTGCTGCTGCTGAGACGGCTGCAGTTGCATCTGCAAAGAGTAGATTTGCTGCTGCTGCTGCATCAGTAGCTGGCGCTGCACCTCCTGCCACTGCTGCTGCTGCTGCTGCTGCTGCTGCTGGAGCATCGGCGGTGTTGGCTGCCCAGGGGGACCTTCGACAATGTGCAGCAGTCTCTTCCCTTCTGCACTCATACCTCTAAACCCTAAACCCTAAACCCTAAACCCTAAACCCTAAACCCTAGGTATTTCTTTGTGCTTGCAACCATCAAATTATGAGCAGTGGATTCCTTCAGTTTTTTATGTATAACACAAGAGTGCTGTGCTGTACGTCCTGCTGCTGCTGCTGCTGCTGCTGCTTGTGTTGCTGCTGCATCTGCTGCTGCATCTGCTGCTGCTGTTGTTGCTTTATCAGCACTGCTACTGACGCCGAATCTGTTGCTGCTGCTGCTGTTGCTGCTTCTACTGCTGCTTCTACTGCTGCTTCTACTGCTGCTTCTACTGCTGCTGCTGCTGCTGCTGCTGCTGCTGCTGTGTTGCATACTTATATCTAAGGAAGAGGGGGGACAGTCAGGCAGCGAAGCAAAGCTGCGCTCTCCTTGTACTCGTGCAGATAAAATCTTCACCCTCTGAAAAGAAGCTGGCTGCTGCTGTTGCTGCTGCTGCTGTTGCTGCTGCTGTTGCTGCTGCTGTTGCTGCTGTTGCTGCGGATGGACCTCCGCAGGCTGTTCTTTTCCCTGCAATTCTAATGTCTTCTCTTTCTGGTGAAGCTGCTGCAGCAGCATCAGCTGCTGCTGCTGTTGTCGCTGCTGCTGCTGCCGCTGCTGCTGCTGCTGCTGCTGCTGCTGCTGCTGCTGTGTGGATTTGAGTAAGAGATGCGTCATGCTGTTTTGTCTTTTTATTAATTCAGCTGCTGATCGAAGAGGCGCTGGAGGCGGAGACACCTCAGATAATACTCTTCGCGCAGGACAGCTAGAAACCTGCAGCAAGAGTCCACTGTCTCCTTGCTGCTGCTGCTGCTGCTGCTGCTGGTGCTGCTGCTGCTGCTGGTGCTGCTGCTGTTGTTGCTGCTGCCGTTGCGGGTTATTTGGCTGCAGCAGCTCTCGGGGCGGGTCGGTCGTGTTGCTGCTGCTGCTGCAGTGATGAGTTGAAGTCTGGTGGATGCAGCAGCTTCTGCTGCTCTTGCTGCTGCTTCTGCTGCTGCTGCTGCTGCTGCTGATGCTTATGCTATTTCTGTTGGCATTGCTGCTGCCCCTGCTGCCTGTGTTGCGTCTGCCGCTAGTGCTGCTGCTATTCTTGCTCCTGCTGCTGCTGCTGCTCTTGCTGCTGCTTTTGCTGCTGTTCTTGATACTGCTCCTGCTGTTGCAGCTGCTGCGGCTATTGCTGCTGATGCTACTGCTGCTGTTGCTGCTGCTAATCCTCTTGTCATTGGTGCTGCTCTTGCTGCCGCTGCTGCTGCTGCCGCTGCTATTGCCGCTGCTGCTGCTAGTGCTGCTGCTGCTGCTGTTGTTGCTGTTGCTGTTGCTTCTGTTGCTTTTGATACTAGTGCTGCTGCTACTGCTGCTGCCGCTGTTGTTATTGCTGCTGCTGCTGCTGTCTGCCTCCTGTTCCTTCTTCTTGTTGACTCTGCTGCAGACTGTGCAGAAACTGCAATCAGAACGCTGTTGTTATTGCTGCTGCTGCTGCTGTCTGCCTCCTGTTCCTTCTTCTTGTTGACTCTGCTGCAGACTGTGCAGAAACTGCAATCAGAAGCAACTGGTTTTATACTGCGCTGCTGCTGCTGCTGCTGCTGCTGCGGCTGCTGCAGCAGCGGCTCCTGTTGCTGTTGCTCCTGCTGCAGATTCAGCAGCTGCTCCTGCTGCTGTAGCAGCAGAACCTGCTGCGGCTGTTGCTCCTGCTGCAGCTTCTGCTGCTGCTGCTGTTGCTGCTGCTGCAGCTTCTGTTGCTGCTTCTGTTGCTCCTGCTGACCCTGGTGTTGTTGCGGTTGATGAGTTTGCTGCTGCGGCTTATCTGTTAACCCAAGTAGATGCTGCTGCTGCTTCTGCTGCTGCTGCTTCTGCTTCTGCTGCTGCTGCTGCTGCTGCTGCGGGGCGTAAGCGTTTTGTCAGTAGCTGCAAGGGAAGCTGTAGCTGCTGCATGGCGCCTGTTTGAGTTTGCTGCTGCTGCTGCCGCTGCTGCTGCTGCTGCTGCTGTTTTTGCAGCAGCCGCTGCTGTTGCTGCTGCTGTGCCAGCAGCTTGTTTGTCTTTTTTAAGCGGCAGCAGCAGCAGCAGCTTATTAATCGTTTTGCTGCTGCTGAAGGCCCCCCTCCCTCACGGGGTGTATAGGCATCGACGCTAAGTTTGCATAAAGTTAATTACTTTATTTATTTATAAATAAATGTTGACATTAAATGAATAAAAAATAAATAAAAAGGCTTTTATCTCTTTAATAAATAAACAAAATCATCATCTGCTGCAGCAGCAGCAGCAGCAGCAAAATCTGCTGCTGCTGCCCCTCCAGCTGTCTGTACACCCCGTGACCCTTTGATATCCTTCTTAGTATTTCTTTGTTCTTTATAATGAAATAAAGCACTCATAGCATTTAATTAAATATAATAATGTAAATAAAACTTTATTTTTTAAATATCTTTTATTTATCTACTACAAACAACATTAGCTGTCTCCTTAAAGGAGACAGCTAATGAGCTGTCTCCTTTAAAGAGACAAACCGCGTTGATAGTTTTATTATTTTCTTTTTCTGTTTATAAATATAAATCAATTAAATTAAATTAAATGGGGTTGCTGCTGCCGTGCTGCTGCTGCTGCTGCTGCTGCTGCTGCTGCTGCACAGCAGCAAAGAAGAAGCGAGGTCACCCTTAAGGAGACAGTTTGCTTGTAGTAGGGAGACAGCTTATTTATAATAAGGAGACAGTTCATTTGTTTAAGGAGATAGTTTGTTTGTTTATTTGATTGCTATAAGGAGACAGTTTGTTTGTTTATTTATTTGTTATAAGGAGACAGTTTGTTTGTTTATTTGCTTGTTTGTATATTTGTTTGTTTAAAGAGAGAGCGTATTTATTTATTTGTTTAAGGAGACAGTTTGTTTGTTTATTTGTGTAAGGAGACAGTTTATTTATAATAAGGGGACAGTGTCTTCGTTTGTTTGCTTAAGGAGGCAGTTTGTTTGTTTGTCTGCTGTAAGGAGACAGTTTATTTGTTTATAATAAGGAGACAGCTTATTTGTTGTAAGGAGACAGTTTGCTTGTTATAAGGAGACAGTTTGTTTGTTTGTTATAAGGAGACAGTCTGTTTGTTTATAGTAAGGAGACAGTTTGTTTGCTTTCTTCTGTCTCTTTAATATGTAAAGTGATATTTAAACCCTCCTCTCTGTCTCTGTCTCCGTCTTCTCTATATCTGTCTCTGTCTCTGTCTCTGTCTCTGTCTCTGTCTCTGTCTCTCCGTCCCTCTGTCTCTCTGTCTCTCTGTCTCTCTGCCTCTGTCTCTCTCTTCTTGTGTAACAGCAGCTGTGATTCGTTACCCATAAACCCTAAACCCCAAACCCTAAACCCTAAACCCTAAACCCTAAACCCTAAACCATAAACCCTAGACCCTGAAGCTGTTCTTTAATACTTTAATCTCTTGTGGGTAAACTGAGAGTAGACAAGATAAAACAAAGAAAAAGATATATTATAAAATAAAGATATGAAGAGACAGCCAAGAGAGATGTGCAGCAATTTATATTGTTATCCTCTCCTTCTGCTCTCTCCTTCTTCTTCTAGGGGCCCCCCATTGGAGGCCCCGCTGAGAGGGGCCTCGGAACTGTCCTACGAAACACTTTGCTGCTGCTGCTGCTGCTGCTGCTGCTGCTACTGCTGCGGCTGCTGCGGCTGCTGCTGTTGCCGTAGCTGCTGTTTTTTCTGCTGCTGCTGCTACCGCTGCTTCTGGTACTGCTGCTGCTCCC